TCAATCGCTCCTACCGTGTCTCGAAATAGTGCATGATCAGACCCTCCTGCAAAATGATTTTTGCCTACTGCGTTCAGCATCTTAATAAACTCTGGTTTCAAAGCACACACCGCCTTCGTGCCGCGTTGCAAATGAGGCTTATTGTCGAACACGATTGGTGGCAGTCTTCCCTATGAGTTGCAAGAAAATCATGACCTGCTCATGTGTAGATAAAGAGCTGTTCCCTGGTAACCGTCCACCTTGTTCTAAACGAGCAACTAAAATGTCAATCAAATAAGCTTCTATTCGGAATATGTCATGAATGGGAGACGGATGGCCGTGAGAGAGCTATTGCATATAGGTGCGGCCTTGCAACTGTGAGGTGTTCTTAGGCACGGGGAAGTAACGAATATAGGTCACGGAAGTGGCGGCGTAGAGAAATTTTCACCATGCAGTGGCGGCGTAAGATTGTTGCTAAAATAGCGTCTTCTATGGAGCTCTCTAGATCGCTTATATGAAGGTCGAGTGGGTTGAAAGGAGTAGGATTCGAGGCGTCATCCATAGAGTGAAATGCGCTTAGCTGTCTAATAGTGGGGGCACGGACTGGTTCCCGGCTGGTTCCCGCTCAGGGAGCGGACCCAGGGACAGCACAAGTAGTTCCGGGTAGGAAAAAGATTTTGGGATCTTGACCAAGTGAGAGAGGACAGTGCCCATTGTCATCGAAAGTAAAAGAGCTACTAGAGATATTTCTGTTTTCCAGCGATGGCTGACCCTTGGGGGTGCGTTGGTGGTGCTAGACATTGGCGCTGTTCTGCTGGAGTTATCGTCGCTGCAGCGTTGGTGGATTAGTAAATTTCTCAATAACTTCAGGTGCCTCTTTGGTTGACTTGGCAAAACATGAAGTTTCAGTTTTGACCGAGGTAAACTTCTCGTTTGAACAGCTCATGCAATTTCGTGTCTACCCAACGGAAGATAGTCTGGCAAAAAATTAACAGCCAAATTGTGTGTCGACACATACAGACAAGAAATTAGCAAATAATTTTCAGCAGCCCCCGCACCAGTGGTGCGGAGGTGATTTCACCTCGAGAGGCAGTACCAGTGGTGCGGACTCTTAGAAGTTAGGCAAGGCAAAGGTGAGTCGACTATCGAGAGAGTTGTACAAAGGGAAAACCCTAAGGGGTTATACCCCACAGTATCTACCCCACTACAGCCTACCATTAATATAACATACAGATATATGTTTGACACACCCCCATAGGCAAAGTGGGGGAGAGCAAGAGGTCACAAGACCAGTCAAGAAAAGCAAAGCAAGCTCAGGGTGGATCATAACGTCACCACACACACTGAGCAGAAGCAAGAGGCCACAGGGCCAGTTCACATGCAGAGATATATATGCAACAAGAACAGCACAGTGATCAGGTATATGTATATATAGATCACAGTACAACCAAGTCAACAGCAAGTGTGGAAACGTAGGCACAAGGCCTAACAAAGTACAGAATTGCTGATGAACACCAGACGGAAGTGCTTTGGTGAATATATCAGCAGTGTTGGCCCAAGTGGGCATGTGAGCAAGACGAAGCTGACCTCGCTGCTGCAACTCTCGAGCCAGGAAGTAACGCAGAGCGATGTGCTTCGTTCTGTGCTCCAATCTGTGCTCGTGACATAAGGCAATGGCGGCCTTGTTGTCGACGTACAGAACTGGAGGAGAACGAGGCCTCTCTCCCAAGTCAGTCAGCAGGTAGGTGAGCCATCGTAACTCTTGTGCAGCCATGGCTGTGGCGTAGATCTCAGCCTCACAACTGGAGCTGAGAACAAAAGACGAGCGCGTGGACCGCCACAAAACAGAGCCAGAGCCAAGGCTGAAAGTGTAACCCTGTGACGACCGCTGCGTAGCCTGGTCGTCAACCCAAGACGCGTCAGAGTGTCCAGTGAGGACAACGTCTCTCCGTCCTCCAAGCACGAGCCCCATGCCCGATGTACTACACAAGTAGCGCAGTACCCTCTTTGCAGCATCCATGTGCACCTTTCGGTGCCAACCAGGAGCCACGTAGCGAGCCGGTCAAAAGCGCGAGAGGGTACGCGAGGTCAGGTCGAGTGCAGGTCATCAGGTACATGAGGCAGCCCACTAGCTCTGCGTAAGGACCACTCGACTCTGCGGACTCGTCCGAAGGTGGAGCTGAGAGCGAGTGACCTGTAGCCAGCGGAGTGGGCTGTGGGGAGGACCAGGTGAAGCCGAAGCGCTGAAGGACCTTCTGCACCAACACCAGCAGCTCCAGTACCCCCAGCAGCTCCAGCAGCTCCAGCACCTCCAGCAGCTCCAGCACCCCCAGAAGCGGCACCTCCAGCCACAGGGTCTCCAACCTCAGTGTCTCCAGCAGCAGCACCCCCAGAACCAGCACCTCCAGTCTCAGGGTCTCCACCCTCAGTGCCTCCAGCAGTGGCACCCCCAGACGCAACACCCCCAGCCCCAGCAGCTCCAGTACCTCTAGTACGAGCACCTCCGGGACCAGCGACTCCAGCACCTCCAGTAGACAAAGTACCAGCACCACTCGTGGCTCCAGGGACGTCACCAGAAGTACCTCCAGCAGCAGAGCCCCGGGCTCCAGCAGCGCGACCCTGACGGCGACCGTACCAGTCGTGCAGCTGCTGTGAGGTGAGAGGCACACGCGGACGAAGGCGGCCACTCCAAGGAGACCGCGCACCAGTAGTCCCAGTGCCCTCAGGCGTCTCACTTCCAGACTCAGCACCCCCAGGCTGGTAGGGCGCGGCGCGGGCTGCGCGGGTAGTGCGCGAGCTGCGCGCGGGCTGCGCGGGCTCGACGCGGGCTGCGCGGGCGGTGCGCGGGGCAGCTGCGGGCCGCGCGCGGGCTGCGCAAGCTCAGGGCGGGCTGCGCGGGCGACTAACGGGGCGCGACGCGGCTGGCAGCAGTGGCGCGCGCTAAAAAAAAAGGCATGCGCGTGCGCAGCCGAGGCGCGCACGGGCAGCAGGCAAGGCAGGTAAGGTCGTAGGTGAGGTAACACGGTAACCGGTGGGCCCTAAACTTAGGTCCTAAAGACCTGCTCTGATACCACCTTAGAAGTTAGGCAAGGCAAAGGTGAGTCGACTATCGAGAGAGTTGTACAAAGGAAAAACCCTAAGGGGTTATACCCCACAGTATCTACCCCACTACAGCCTACCATTAATATAACATACAGATATATGTTTGACACGGACCATTTGCCTTATGAGGAAATGGCATGAAACAAACGGGCGGTTATGGTACAGTGTCACAAAAGTGCTGTTTTGCAGGTTTTCTCGGTTTTCTTGATTCGCCCAGCTTCGGACAATGCCCAACCTGAACCGACGGACCAATGGCGCGGATAGAAGAATCCTCGGAGGCCATTTTTTGGCCAAAAGAACAGCGCCATAGCACCAGTCAGGTGTCCTCGGTATTTTTTAATGGACGAGCACAAATTTTCGATGAGGGGTCCGCAGTTGCGCGGAGGGTGGCACGAAGCTGTATCGCACCACCAAGGGGCTCCAAAATACGCGGAAGCTCCGAGTCGCACCAGTGGTGCTGTACTGTGCTGTCCGCCGTCCATTCGCTGCTGGGCAACAGAACACGGCCTAGGTTAACGCGTGAGGGAAGTTAATGAATCTCACAAATTTGTCCAACCGCGTGTGTACCCTAAGGTTTCATGAAAGGTTCCTATTTATAAGATGGCAAAACACTCTCCGTTTACTATATAGATCGCCCATAGATTGTCATTCTTAACACTACAAGATGAGACAAACGCTTACCATCCATGTGAGCATAACATGAACCTTCGAAATAGGATGGAAAGAAATGGAAAAATATACAATGGAAACTATCAAGTCGATTAAACAAAAACAACAAGAGCATGCAAGCAAAAAAAATTCTGCCATTAGCTTAGCAGACATGTCCTAGGACATGTGACATCAACCCCCCAGTCCCAGGTCCTTTCTTCCCACATTTACAAATATACACGTATTCGTACACTGACGTGAACGTCACGCCAGAACAGCCCGTTACACGAGCACACGGCACGCCAGGTGCCACAGGTGCCACGTCAGCACCGCCAGCAAGGCATGAGTCGCTACGTTCTTGAGCACAGTCAGCACCCGCACCCGCCACTGCAGCTTCTGCTGCCACTGCTGCAGCAGCTGCTGCTGACCCCTCACCCTCTCCCCTCCAGTCCCCTCCACCCCCTCCCTTTCCATCCCTTCAACCCCCTCTGATTCCTGTGCTGGCCTTGCAGCAGCAGCAGCAGCAGCAGTAGGGAGCTCTTGTGCTGCTTCTTCCGCGACGAAAGATGAGACCACTGTAGCTTCGGCAAACGAAGCAGCAGGAGGGACAGGTGCCTCCCCAGTGTGTGCCACAGAGGTGGTTGCTGGAGGTGGAGGGGTTTGCGGAGGGGTTTCTGGTGCTGCTGGTGCGGTGGCATGCGGTGCAGAGTGGCGGCGCAGACGCCAGGAGGAGCGGGGGCGCTTGTGGTAAGGCGTGGGAGAGGGAGGGCCGCGAGAGAGAGCTGCTGCTTCCTCCATGCTCTGATGTGCGTGGAGAGAAAGGGGAGCGGATGAGAAAGGAGGGAACGAGAACAAGAAGGGGATATGAGAGGGTAAGGGCGAGAAGGGTGCGAGACGAACACAATGTGTGTGTGTTAGGTTGGTTGGGTAAGGGCGTGCATGCGTGCGTGCGTGCGTGCGTGCGTGTGTGACGCTCACATAGGCCAGCAGCGGTTGCAGAATGAGCGCCAGCAGTGCTGACAGCACCGTTGCTGCCGCCAGCAGCCACAGCTGCAGCTCATCCCCCCACTCCGCCACCCCCCCTCCCATCCCCCCTGCCCCCTTCGCCCATGCTTCCCCCTCTCCTCCTCCACTCTCCCCATCTTCCCCCCCTTCTCCCCACGCAGGCCCTAGGTGAGGGGACTGAGAAGGGAGGAAGGGGGAGAGGGGATTGTGGGAGTGTGCGAGGGAGAGGGAGAGGAGGCAGAGCGCTGACGTGGCAAAGAGCACCCTCAGAATCGCCCTCTCCACCATCGAGCCCAACTCGGCAGGATCACGGGCAGAGAAAACATTTCGGAGCTGCCCGACGGGGAGGAAGGTGAGGACGAGAGTGAGTGTGTACGCAAGAGAGAAAGCAGCGAGGTGGGCTGTGCGGATGAGAGCGGGGACGAGGAGAGGAGGGGAGGCGGGGAGGGAGGAGGGTGGGAGAGGAGGGGGATGGGCAGCACAAGGCGTTGAAACCAGAGGGGCAGGCAGGACATGAGAGCACTCGCGGGGAAGGGCGGGGTCACCCTCTCCCACTGCTCCAACTGCTGCACCTGCTCCCGCTTCTCTGCTGCCTCTGCACCTTCGGCCCCTTCTGCCTCCTCTGCTGCCCCTGTTGCTGTCTCTTTGCCGCCTGCCTTCTTAGGACGCATTGCATCCCGTACAGGCTGGAAGAACCGCACTCCTTGCAATTCCATCCACACCCCATCCCCCATCTCATCTTCCTCCTCCTCGCCTCCTCCCTCCCTCCTCATTCCCTCCCTCATCTTCTCCCCAAGCCCCTCCACTGCCTCCCATCCCTCCCCAGCTTTCTCCCTCAGCTTCCCACCCACCCTGCTGCCCTCTTCCCTCGCCTCTTCCCACACCTTCTCCGCACCTTCCTTCACTTTCTCTCCTATCCTGCTGCCTCTCTCCCTCGCCTCCTCCCATGCTACCTCAGCACCTTCCTTCACCCTTTCCGGCAATTTCTCAGCGCATTCCTTCACCTCCTGCAACTTCTCAGCACCTTCCTTCACCTCACCCCGTAGCTTCTCCGCACCTTCCTCCACACGACCCTTCGCAGCATCCCACGCCCTCCCAACCTGCCCAACCACACCTTCCCCCACCCCCTCTCCCCCCCTCTCCCCCTCCCCCCCATGCTCCATCCTCACAGCCTCTGTAGCCACATCATACACAGGACCGAGGAAGGCCGTGGGTGCTGCAGGGGAGGGTGGCACCCCTGCCTCTTCATGCCCATGCCCATGCCCATGCTGATACCCATGCTCGTGAGTATGAGGATGAAACCCCTCCTCCACCACACACCTCCCCACCCCCTTCACTCTCTCACTCACATCCTCTACTGCCTCTTCAACCCCCTCCACCACCTCCCTCACTCCCTTCACTGCGCCCTTCACTCCCCCTTCCACTGCCCCAACTGTTTTTTTCCCGCCCTCCCACACAGTTTGCCCCGCCTGCCTGCACCTATCAACTGCGTCCTGCCCGAATACAGCTGCCCGGGAACAAAATCCCACTGTTGTGTCCACAGCAGCTTGCCCAGCCCCATGGGCTTTTTCCCAAGCTGCCTCAACCGTTTCTTTTGCTGCCCGACCGGTCGCAATAACAGCATCTCGGGCAGCCTCCGCATCTTCCCTGGCTGCCCGGCCGCTCTCCACCACACGATCCAAAACCCGCTTGCCAGCATCTCGCACCCGGGCAGCAGCGTACCTCGCCCGGGCAGCAAGAAACTCTTCCGCGCTGACCACTTTCTGCCCGGCCGCCCGCAAGCGAGAGAGGAAAGTATCTGCCATATCCCACACCTTGTCTCGTGCCACATCTCCCAATCCCTTGAGCCTCTCTGCCAACCTGAAGCGCCTAGCAGTAGCAACACCACTGGCTCCCTCCCTTCCCTCCTCCCCTCCCTGCTCCTCTCCCTCCACTCCCTCCTCTCCTTCCTCTTCCTCCCATTCTGCACCCATCCCGGCACTTTCCACGCCCTCCTCCCCCCTCTCACCCATCATCACCACCACTGTTCTTACCACAGCCTCCGCCCTCCGCCTTGCCTCCTCCCCCACTCTCCCCCCCACACCCACATCAACGCCCCTCAACCCCTTCTCACCACTCTTTTCGCCCCCCTCCCCACCCTTCTCAACCCCCTCCCCTCCAAAATGCAAAACCATTTCCTCCTCCACAAGAGCAACGAAGCTCCGGTCAGAAAAGGCTTTCTGCGCTGCCCGACCTGCCCGGCGCACGGAATCAAGAGAGGCGAGTAGATACTGAGCACGGGAAAACGCTTCTGAAACTGCCTCCTCTACTGCCCTCTCCACTGCCGCACTCCACTCCTCCTCATCCCTCCCCACATCCGCCTCCTCCTGCTGCTGCACCTCTGTCTGTCCCTGCCTCTGCTCCTGCCTCTGATCCTGCGCCTGCCCCTGCTCCTGCGCCTCCCTCTCCCCACCTGCGCTCACATCAACGGCAGGAAGAACAACCCCTACTCCGCGCCCCCCCTCGCCAAGCCCCCCCACGCCAGCATCCGCCAGGCTTGCATCAGGAGAGGGGGGAAGTGGGCGCCTGGTGGAACCCTCTCCCTTTTCGAATAAAGTGCCATGTGCGGCCCCAGATACAGCCTCCCCCAGTAGAGCCTCGGAAGGGAGGTCGGACTGGGCAGGTGGAACCATGCGCAGGGACGGATGGGCTGCTGGAGAGGGGAACAGAGGAATGAAGAAAGGAGAGAGGAGTGAGATGAGACATGCAGGAAAGAAAGGATCTGGCAAGAGAAGGAGGATACAGCACAGGCAAAGAGAAGTGGAAACCGATTCGAGACAAGGAAAGTAGAAGTTAAGTCTGCATATAGAAAACGTGCAAGTACATCATTTCACTGAAACGCTTCACTCACAAGAAACAACAGGAGTAGAAAACACAAAAAAAACAAACAAAACAAAACGGGCAGACATGCCCTGTGCATCACAAAACAGACACTTAACCCATGGGCCATGGAAAGGCGGAACCTTGCCCAATCTGCAGCGCAGCCAGCCTTGCCTACCAGAAACGACCTTTAAGCAAATCACTAGCTTTCTACAACAAGCAAAAATCAACTAAGGCTCAGTGCCTCTCGCACGCAGTCACTGTCCAGACGCTCAAGTGCAGCCTATCTGCCCTCTCCCTTGCTCTCAAAGTCCTCCTTGCACTGCCTAAACTAGCTGTGCGAGCTCACGACACAACCAGCCAACCTTTATTCAAGATAAAAACCAGGGCTTCACAAAACCAACACACACCAGTCAATGGAACCCAATACAAAAACAGGAAAAGGAAAAGGAAGGCTGACTAATGCTGTACGCAACTACCTTGCTCAAGCTAGACATCACGACTCCCGCCATGCATCTGAGAACTAGAGGTTACACAGGTCAATCAAGATCAAGATTCGCAGCAATCAAAGATTCACCACCAGCCATATTGATGACTCACCGCCATCCGCTGCAATGATGAAGGACGGCAGACCCAGGCGGTGCCTCCCCCCAGCCCATCCGCCACTGGCGCCCGCGCGGGCGATTGCGGACGGGACGAGCGCGGGGAGGAAGATCCGGCGCACCTCCCCCGGGAGCGCGAGGAGGAGGGGGGGAGAGTGCGGGGAGAAGAGGATGGCGGAGATGAGCGAGGAGAGGAGGAAGAGCGCGGACGCCAGGAAAGACGCCGCCATGGCTGGGGGGAGCCTGTCTGCCGCCGAACGCGGCGGAAAGAGCGGAGGGAGGCTGATACAGAAAGCTCGGAGGGACTCTTAAATCGACTCAAAAGGTCACAGGAGGAAGTCAGGAACGATTGGCTAGATTTAGCTGACGGCTGAAGAGAGATTGGGTCAAGTCCGGCACAGCCTTTCAAGTAGGAGGCGCGACAGACCAGGACTAAGCGCGGCAAAACCCTCTTCTTCGAGACTTCGAGGGCAAACGAGACGCAAGAGCTGAGGTCTCCAGCAAGGTGCAAGGCCGCCGCTCATCTCATCCCATGAGAGACATTCATTCCGTCAGTTTCTTGCGAGAAGCATCCCATCCATCGCGCGTTACTAGCTTCGCCGAGCCGCCACTGCTCCATTCCAGGCCCGCCCTGCAGACTTCTCTGCATCCTCGCCTCCCAGCTGCAAGGACTCACGCAGCTTGAGTCCGCTGCTCTGGGGACCGCGCGGAGCGAGAATTGCCTTCCGCTGGTCGCAAGCAGCCCCATCGCGTCGCACAGCCATCGCCGTTTCGCACAGCGTAGTCGCCAGGCGATTGCAGCGACGTTGCTCTGGTATCGCGTCAGCGACGCTCTGCCCCGCGTGAAGGAATCTACGCTGGAGCTCTGCATGAAGCCAGAGCACGAACGCGACACGTGAGCCCGAGTCACCTGGCCTTTGGTGGGGCAGGCATGCTGTGCTGCGTCTGCCACGTGTTGCCAAAATTGGGAAGAGTAACTAGTTGCGATATTGGAGGTTAGGGCTGGTGGTTTGATAACGTGGATAGCTACTAATTCATGGTTGTAACATTGATTCTTAGAAATATAATTTGCCGAAATTTTGCACCCAGCCTAGTGTGCAAACTCTGAAATCCACAAGAACGCTTGATACAAATAATAAAGTATGTTCAGCACAGAAGTCAAAGATAATATAGTAAAGCAGGGTAGTGCAGTAGCTCAGTTTCCCTCATGCTAGCGGCATATTTTCATTGCACTTGGTGCTCACAAGCAACCTCATGCCCTGAATCAACAGTTTGTGCTTTTCACCTTTCTTTTCTTCCTTGCCCTCAGCACCATCTTCTTCACAGCATCCTCATCTTCTTTGGTGCAGAACGAGGCATCCACATCTGCTGCACCAGATTCAATAAGGCTGTTGGGAAAGTTGGTATCAGCAGGAAGGTGGAACGAGGTGTATTCGTCAATTTTTTGCTGCTTCCCCTTAGTTGGCCGTTTCCTCTTTGCAGTTGAAGCTCTCTTCTTGCTCGATTGTGCCACAGGAAGTGAATCCTGCAACATAAAAAAACGTGAGATTCAACAGCAATCACCCAAACTGGCGGGGTGGACTTCGCTCAGACAGCCTACCTCGAGTGCTGGTGGGCTCGGCATCATACTCATTAGGTCACCCTGACTTGCTTTCCAGTTTTGATCATTCTGTAATGACATTGGCCACATCTCTCCGGTAGTCTCGTTTTGCGGATTGCTCAGACAGATTGGGCTGTCAGAAAATGACACAGGTGAGGCATGCGAACGTGGAAACCAGATGAAATGGAAGGAAACAGTCCATTGACCCACCTTAATTGCATTAACTCATGGTTCTGGTTCTTGGTCACCTGTAAAACAACACAATGTGAGCAAAAAACAAGGCGCGACAGGTACATAGCAACAAGATGATAGAACAAACGGTGTTACCTGCATGAAATCAGTCATCTTCCCTTCGTGTCTCTTTTTGAATTGACCATGGCCATTGGCATGGCGCTGTTGATGTTCTCGCTTATCAAACATTGGTGTAATATTCAGCTCCTTGCCTTCGAATTCCTGAAAGGTTCATAGTTATCGCAACTTCCAAGACGATATGTCAAACGAAAATCACTTACACGCTGTTGATTCCGCAGCATGGTTGTCATGTTCTTCATCATATCCGAACGAAGCTCTGTCATGCCTCTTTGAACTGCGGATTCCACCTGTTTCCAAGCGCAAAAGCCTCAGCATCATGCAATCCGCAAGCATCGCAGGACAGACCTACCGTCTGAATGATGAGCTGTCGAAATCGGCCGTCTTGATCTTCACCTGCAGGACAACAGGTCAACCATATTATGAGCAGATTGGCAGTCGATGTTCTAGCAACAGCTTCAACAAAGCATACGTGAGTGGTCTTTCAAGTGTCCCAAGTCGGCCTTCATCTGAGAAATGTCCTCTGCGATTCCCACAATTCGGTTGCACAGACTCTCGACCCTATGTTTCGTTTCCTCACTGCAGTCTGCTCACATTGCATCCGATGTTGAGAAATCTCCACACAATCAGCCTTTTTCGGAACCAATTTGAGCGACTCACTGCAAGGCGGCATCAATCTTTGAAGAGAATTCGTCAAGTTGGAAAAACTCTTCTCCTGTCCATTTTTCACGCGCAGCAGGGGCTGCGACGAGTACTTTTGAAGAGAGACCGACGGTTGCGCTGTCCCTTGAGTAACCTGTCGCTGAGAAAGGGTTTTTATGTGAAGAATCTCTATCAGCAAACCGCCTTAAATTCGAGATTCAAGCATCACGAACCTGAGAGCCTTGTGACGCACTTGGGTATGATTGTGACATGCTTTGGGAGAATTGGCTGGCGTGCGCCATGTACTTCGACGATGGCATACCGAAAGCTAATGAGTCGGACGCGTTCGTTACTGCAGGCGAGGACCTACGAGAAACAAATATATCAGAAGATGTATCCAACAATGCGCGAATGAATTCTTCGTGTCAAATAAACCCACCCCAATGCTGCCCTACATCCCAAAAATTGAACCGGCAAAAAACTACCCCAAGGTTTCCTCCAGGTTACCCCGCTGTAGGTAACCCAAAGGATTCAGTATAGGATTCCGCGAGGTTACCTCAAAGTTCGTGGTGACCCCGAGGTTACCCACATGAGGTGACCTGCGGGAAACCGCGAAGCTACTGCAAGGAAACCTCTCCCAGATTCCTGGAACGAATCATGCGCGACCTTGGTACGCGCTGTGAGACTGTTCGCGACCAGCAAATCATACAGTACACTAAATTATTTCTCGTTGTCATATAATAATGTAATTAGGGTCATTTTGACTCATTTTAATCGCTGATAGTATTGATGCTATTTCATAAAGCCTGTTTCCATCGTCTAAGACTCATTTCCTGTATATGCTAAATATACCAAATAAAGAGTGCGCCATATAAAGATGCCCGTACACGATTCATAACAATGATGAATACATTCAAAACACAATGTTAGGACTTACACCACCGTGCAAGTGTGCAAAAGACAAACTATGACTGCACAGAGTAAGTTTCAGATCAAATAGAGATGCAAATATCTTTGAAAATAACACTTCTTCAGAATCAGGTCGTTGATTCATAGTTCCTGTCACACCTGAGTAGTGAACACAACACAGAATGGGAAACACTAGTGCGAAATTACAGCTGTCTATTACCGAGTGGCGAACGTGCTTACCAGGCGAAGAGAATCTGGCAGCTAGGAGGCTCGGTGAACTAGCGCCTGCAAAATCAAGGCGCAAATTAAGACGCAAGGGCATCGGATTGCAGTGAAACATACAATGACAATAAGAAAGCAAGAGCAAACTGGGTGGCTGACAAAGAGAAATGTGGCTTCAACCTGCGAAACAGGATGACGACATGATGCCAAACAGAACGAGCGGCGCTCATCCAGAAACTCCAGGGGACATAAATCATAAATTATCACATCACGGTCATATCGCTTACCTCACGACCGCTACTAAGAGCCTCGCCGCGACAACGAGATCTACGGCAGTACGTGATGGCGGCACAAACCCTGGCATCGCTTCCGCCATCGGTAATCTGCCATAAAGAAACAATCATCAGAGAATATAGAAATTACTCGTTATTCGACTTCGGCAATACCGGAAACCCTATGAAGTCCATGGTAAAATACTGGAAATTTAAAGGATCCTAGTCATAGAGCGTGCACGGACAGCTTTCTGACAACTAAGCTCCAAGTAGCGACGATCGCGGAGCTATGACGCCATGGCGAGTTGGAAAAAGCGTGAGATGGATGATTCAACAACTGAATCAGAGCAACTGTTAGAACCACTGAAATACACTTCGACGCATCACCAAAAGGATCTGCGGTGCAGAAGTGACGTGGAAGGATTTGATTGGTGACAGTTATTCTGCCTGCTTCTCAGCGAAACTTATCAGAATACAACGCGATATGGTGAGGCGCGTTAACCAATCTCATCATTCAGCAGTGCTGCTAGAACTTACACTATTATCGAAACCTGCTGCGGGTCAGCTTCGGTTTCCGAAACAGTGCGACCAAGCCAGTGGACTAGCCTCGTTCCGAGGCAGTGGGGTTTCCTTGAGGTAACCTCGAAACTCTCCTGCATCCTGATTGGTCAATTTGTTTTCTCGATAGTAAACGACATTCTCGTGAATTTCGCTTGATATCGTTGTTGCCCTCATGTTTCCTGTTGGGTTCTTGAGGGTAACCTCGCGTGCGATGCGTTGAGGTATCCCACGATTTCGAGCCAATTTCGGCAGTTGAATTTTTGGGATGTAGTCGCATTCTCCGCATCATGTCGGGCGGCGGGAAAGGGGAAGCGGGCGGCGGGAACGGGAATCGGACGGCGGGAAGGGGCGGACGGGCGGCCCGCCTGGAATCAATGGGCGGGAAAGGGGATTCAGGCGGCGCGGAGTGAGATTCGGGCGGCGAGAAAGGGGAACCGGGCGGCGGGAACATGAATCGGGCGGCGGGAACATGAATCGGGCGACGGGAAGGGGAGTAGGGCGACGGGAAAGGGAAATCGGGCGGCGGGAAAGAAGAATCGCCAGGCATGACGGGGAATCGGGCGGCGAGAACAAGGAGTCGAGCGGCGTTCCGAATCGGGCAGCGTGACTGGGGTTTCATGGCGGCGGGAAAGGGAAATCGGGCGCCGGGAAGGGGGATTAGGCGACGGGAAGAGGAACTTTGCGTCGGCGAAGGGAAATCGGGCCGCAGGAAAGGGAATGGCTAAGGCGTTCTCACTTTGATGCGGAATGCTCCGTGTATCAGGCGCCGAAAAATAAACAATGGCTCTGTCGGCGTATGACCTATGCGTGAGAAGAGCTATAATCGCAATGGCTTGCACCGCTTTTGGAAGTTACCTTTTTAGTGCTAGAGTAAGGACGCCGTGGGTGTGGGCATAGTGGCGAGGAGGTATGTCCTTCAGTATACTTTTGGCTAGGTATAAACTTTTGACGAGTGAGTCAGGTGACTGGGGTTGGGTTTGGACTTGTCGCTGTGTCTGAAGTCGAGGGACCCTGTAATTTGGTTACCACCATGTACCTTTTATAAACTTTTGGACTTTCCCCTGGCAAATGTATACCGCCGCTTTAACCAAGAAGCGTCTCATTCTGCCTCCTTCGGGATGTAATGGCTAATTCCGTCTACTTGCTGAGATGGCCGATTACGACTTCGTGATGTTATGGCTGGTTGGTTATGCTTTAGGCGGGCTATTACCAGCTCTTTAGTTCTTACAGGAGTGTCTCGAAAATCATCTGCGTGCCGCAAAATGTATCCGTTGCCAAGGCCTTGGGTACCTCGCATCGCGAGGCAAACACCTCGACACAGCCTTACCTGTCGACCCACTTTCATCAACCGACGCAAAACACTCTTGGGTTTCTATTTTACAACATAAAACTTCTCTCACTAAAAGGCCAAAACATTGCTCTCTTATGTTGGATTGTACCCGTAATAGGGCCCAGATTGGAATGACTGCGCCATAAAACTTCATATTGTATTAATTGGAGCAATTAATGGTCAGGAAGTAGACGTGCGGGGGTTTAACACCAATCCTCACTTTGGTACAGAATGGGTGGTGTTTTTTTGGACTCAGTTGTTCAGGTGCAGCACAAGACCTACAGAGACAAGCTCTGTTAGCAGGAGATGTAGACAGACACTATGCTTCTTTGCTTGACTGTTTTTTAATGCTGAAAATTAGTTGTTGCACAATCCTAGCATGGCTACTCTGTGAGTGAGGAGAAACCTGTCGGACTAGCGAGGAGCGTTTTCAAATGGGGAACACCCTGCCAAAGAAGTAGAAGGATGGGAGACAGAGAGAGCTACTACGCAGTATGAAGACAGGAAGAAAGAGGAGAGAGGGGAGCCCAGGAGGTAGCAATAGATTGAAGAGAAAGAGTTTTCCAATATCCTGGTTAGGGAGGATTGAAGTGTTTATGGGAAAAGAAACAACTTCTTCATATCACTACAGCACAATACAAAACGTCCTTGCTAGCCATGTAGGTACAACAAAAAGGTATATTCCTTTTTCGGCTATGGAACACATCATAAAGTGTACGAGATGTGCTAACCCCTTCCTTCATACTGGTACAAGCTTGACTCAATATCTGCGTCATGCGCCAGTCGTTTGTGAGTAACGGTTCGCATCAGAACACCCAGAGTGCTGCAGCATTTTACTTATTGTACCATTGGCGATGGCAAAACTGCTGCCCGCCTAACCCGTGAGCCCTTCGCTAATCCTCCTCCCACTTATGCTCCTGACAGAAGTCAGTGGAGGATAGGGATGGCAACGCAAAAGAACAGGCTGGGATGATGCTCGCTGAAGATGGAGAATGATGATGGATGGAAAGAGAGCACGAACACAGCTTTTTGAACCAGGATGGCATGAGTTATTGGGTTCGGGAGAAAGCCAGACAAGAACAGAGTACTGTTTTAACCATGGCAAGAAGTGAGTAGCGACCACTAGCTCACCGTGTTTGGCGATTCAGCCACCCCGTCGCCTGGCCTGCCCTCCTCGGCGCATGCACCTTTTCTTCTTCAACATGTATCCCTGCTTGCAGCGGCACACAGAGCCGCTGTCCACCACCACACACTCCGCATTGGCTTTGCATGCAGGCTTGCACACGGCTGCAAACGGAACAAGGGGATTAGAGGGGTGACAAACAGGCAGAGGAGACAAGGGAGAGGGAGAAACTGGATGTTGAGACATGTGAATATGTTGATGAAGCTGTATTCAAGCCACGTTGACAGGCCGAGGGTAAAGCAAATCAGGGGCATGTGTAATACAATGGCATCACTCTCACATCTCCCCCCCCACTCACCCTTGCACTGGCCGTTGTCCAGCAAGGTGTAGCCGGTGCTGCACTTGCACACGCCAATCCCATTGTCCACCTGGCAGGTGGTCTCCTCAGAGCATGGCGGGCTGCATGTGGCTGTCAAAGAGATAGCACATGGCACGAGCAAAGAGGCGAGAAGGGCATGGAGGAGGACAGCTGAAGAGATAGCATTGGGTAACGGAGAATGGAAGGGGAAACGGAAAAGCTTAGCTTGAGCAGAAGAAGAAACAACGATGAAAGATGACCAGTGGACATGGAAAGATATGAGTGATGATGACAGGTAACGAAGACAGCCTGTGATGTATAGACCAGGGCAAGCCCATTTGAAACACGCACAAAGTTTGATGGCCATGAAATGAGAGAGGGACGGGAGGGGAAGTGTCATATTGATGAGAGACGTGAAGTAAGAAAGGGATGTCGTTTCACCCCCAAGCACTCACGAGTGCACTCGCCGTTGCCCAGCATGGTGTAGCCGGCATCGCACTTGCACAGCGCGGTGCCATTGTCCACCTGGCAGGAGGCGTAGAGGGCGCATGCCGAGCTGCATGCGGCTGCCACAGGGAGGGTGGGCGGGATGAGAGGGGCGAGAGGCACGTTGGCGGTACGTTTGAGTTAAATGGTGGTGTCAGCGCAACAGATATTGCTCATGGAAAATAAGAAAGACAAACATGTGAGCTGTGTGGGAGGTGAGTTGAGGTGAGTTCGGGGTGAGGTGAGTTGAGGGTGTGGTAAGGAGAGGGATGCATGAGTGTGCAATGAAAGGGATGTATTTGAGACGCCTATGAGCTCCCACCCAGCTCACCAGTGCATGCGCCATCAATCTCACCGTACCCTGCCTTGCACTCGTACACCCCTTGCCCGTTCGTGGTAAGGTGAGGGAGGCATGAGTGTGCAATGAACGTGAGATGTCTTTGAGACGCCTACTGAGCTCCCACCCAGCTCACCATTGCACTCGCCATTCCTTTCAGTGTACCCTGCCTTGCACTGGCACACCCCTTGCCCGTTGGTTGGCACGCACTCCCGGTTGCCCTCGCACACTGTTCCTCCACAGGGGTCAGCAACTGGGCCGTTCAAGCCTGGGCCGTTCAAGCCTGGGTAAGCAAGGATGCAGTAAGAGTTGTGGGCAAGTGAGAAGAGTGAGTTGAGGGGGGGCAACATAATGTAGGTTTCTTTAGATCTCTCATTCCCAGCAAGCAACTACCGAGCAACTTAAGCACCTCTTCTCCAGCTCACCAGTGCACGCGCCATTGACCTCAGTGTACCCCGCCTTGCACTGGCACACCCCTTGCACGCACTCCCGATTGCCCTCGCACGTTCCACCACAGAGTTCAGGAGCTGGGGTGTTTGTGGCTGGAGGAAGAGAAGCATGGAGGAAGAGAAGCATGGAGGAAGAGAAGCATGGAGGAAAAGTGAGCCTGTGAGGCTAAGGAGGAGTGATAGCGGGAGTGGGAATGAGGTGAGGGGGATGAGCATGCGATAGGGTTGAGGTGCAGGTGAGATGCGTTTGAAGGAAAAGTCTCGCATGATTCACCGCAACAAGCGGGAATAATGCCGTGTGTGACTGTGCACTGAGAAAGGTGAGAGTGAGAGTGAGCATGAGCGTGAGGTGGGAGTGAGGCTGAAGTGACGTGAGAGTGAGGCGAGAGTGAGGTGGGAGTGAGGTGAGCTGCCAGCCACCCTTTCTAACTTCTCTCTTCAGCTCACCAGTGCACGCGCCATTGACCTCAGTGTACCCCGCCATGCACTGGCACACCCCTTGCACGCACTCCCGATTGCCCTCGCACGTTCCACCACAGGGGCCGGCAACTGGGGTGTTGGTGGCTGGAGGAAGGGAAGCATGGAGGGAGTCACATTCGTGAGGGCAGTTGAGGCTAGAGAGGGGTGAAAGAGGGAGTGGGAATGAAGTGAGTGTGAGAGTGCGATTAGGAGTGCGTGTGACAGAGGGACGTGACATCTGAACCACTGCTGAGCAACATCCAACCCTTTCTAACACGCCGCGAAAAACTCTCGGAGCAATGCATTTGGAGGATGAGCATGGCTGAAGAACATGAAAGAAATCAGCAAGACGGGGTTAGAAGAGTGATGTAAGGGTGTGATGAGTGTGCGATGAAAGTGAGATGTCGGTGGGACGGCCATTGAGCTCCCAGCAACAGCTGAGGAATCTCAAGCACTTATGGATTTGCCTCACCGGTGCATATGCCATCGGTCTCAGTGTACCCCACCTTGCACTGGCACACCCCTTGCACGCACTCCCGATTGCCCTCGCACGCTCCACCACAGGGGTCGGCAACTGGGGCGTTGGTGGGTGGAGGCGAAGCACGGAGGGAAGCACGGAGGGAAGCACGGAGGGAAGCACGGAGGGAAGCACGGAGGGAAGCACGGAGGGCGTCAAAGTTGTGAGAGCAAACGAGGCGAGAGTGGGTGGAGAGTGGGACTGAGAACGAGGTGAGTGCGAGAGTGCGAGTGAAGTGAGAATGTGACCTGGGTGATGTGACGTTGAAGCCCTGCTGAGTGACAACCAAGCCCCTTCTAGCCGCCGAGAAAAACTTTCTAAGGAATGCAATTGGATGAGCATGAGAAACGAACATGAGAGAAATCGACAGGCAGTTTGAAGAGTGCGAAAGAGGTGAAACTGTGAGAGTGAGGTGAGAGTGAGAGTGAGAGTGAGAGTGAGAGTGAGAGTGAGAGTGAGGTGAGCGTAAGGGTGAGAGTGAGATGAGAGTGAGAGTGAGGTGAGAGTGCGACATGGCTCCCAGCCATGTCAAGCACTTCCTTTTTCAGCTCACCAGTGCACACTCCATCGATCTCAGTGTACCCCTCCTTGCACTCGCACACGCCTTGCACGCATTGTCGATCGCCCTCGCACGTTCCACCACAGGCGTCAGGAACTGGGTCGATCACGCCGGGGTCGCTCACGCCTGTAAAGGCACCGGGGGGGTCAGAGTTGCGAGGTAAAGTGAGGCAGGAGGAGATATAACGGGAGTGGGAATGAGGTGAGAAGGATGAGCATTGAGGTGAGTGCAGTGAGATGAGATGCGGTGCAGTGAGGTGAGGTGCAGGTGAGACGAGGCCCCAAGATCCGACTCGTAGCATTGTACCTAAGGGTGAGAGTGAGATGAGAGTGAGATGAGAGTGAGATGAGAGTGAGCGGCTTCAGAGCGAGAGTAGGGATTAGAGTGCGAGTGAGAGGAGTGGGAGCGAGAGTGAGAAGGATGGGCACGCAATGCAGCTCCGAGTGAAAGCGTGTGGGAGTGTGAATTGAGAGTCACAAGTGCATTTGTGAATTGTGAGTTGTGAGTGTCATTTCAGGATCATGACCGAGTTTCAGGGAATTGAGCATACAAGAACCGAAAGTGGGCGTTCCCAATTCAATTATCATTTGCACAACCCATTCGCTCACCACCCCATTTGCTCACCACCCCATTTGCTCACCACCCCATTTGCTCACCACCCCATTTGCTCACCACCCCATTCGCTCACCACCCCATTCGCTCACCACCCCATTTGCTCACCACCCCGTTTGCTCACCACCCCGTTTGCTCACCACCCCATTTGCTCACCACCCCATTTGCTCACCACCCCATTCGCTCACCACCCCATTCGCTCACCACCCCATTTGCTCACCACCCCGTTTGCTCACCACCCCGTTTGCTCACCACCCCATTTGCTCACCACCCCATTTGCTCACCACCCCATTTGCTCACCACCCCATTTGCTCACCACCCCATCTGCTCACCACCCCATTCGCAGACGCCTCCTTTGCAAGTGGAGCCCGGGGGGCAATCCGTGACGCTGCAGGGGTCCACTGGGGCTGGCACGAGGGCAGGGAGGCGATGCATGGAGAGAGGGAGGGAGTTTTGAAAGATTCAAGACATTGATGGGAGAGTGAGGGGAGGGGGTTGAGATGCAATGAAGGTGAGACGCAAAGAACCGTTGAGCTATGGAAAGACACGTGCTCACACGCCCACACGCCCTTGCCTTACCACTGCACTCGCGACCCCTCTGGGTGAAGCCCAGACAAACTCGCACACACCTTCCCTTCAATCCGCTCCCCTCACACCTGCTGCTGTGCCATAGGCATCACCAGAACCCTCCCTACTACCCACATGCCCCTGGCTCACCACTGCACACGCCCCTGCCTCACCACTGCACATGCCACCCCTTCGGGTGTAGCCCTTGACACACTCGCACACGCCTTCCCTTCTCTCCGCTCCCCTCACACCTGCTGCTGTGCCATAGGCATCACCAGAACCCTCCCTACTACCCACATGCCCCTGGCTCACCACTGCACACGCCCCTGCCTCACCACTGCACATGCCACCCCTTCGGGTGTAGCCCTTGACACACTCGCACACGCCTTCCCTTCTCTCCGCTCCCCTCACACCTGCTGCTGTGCCATAGGCATCACCAGAACCCTCCCTACTACCCACATGCCCCTGGCTCACCACTGCACACGCCCCTGCCTCACCACTGCACATGCCACCCCTTCGGGTGTAGCCCTTGACACACTCGCACACGCCTTCCCTTCTCTCCGCTCCCCTCACACCTGCTGCTGTGCCATAGGCATCACCAGAACCCTCCCTACTACCCACATGCCCCTGGCTCACCACTGCACACGCCCCTGCCTCACCACTGCACATGCCACCCCTTCGGGTGTAGCCCTTGACACACTCGCACACGCCTTCCCTTCTCTCCGCTCCCCTCACACCTGCTGCTGTGCCATAGGCATCACCAGAACCCTCCCTACTACCCACATGCCCCTGGCTCACCACTGCACACGCCCCTGCCTCACCACTGCACATGCCACCCCTTCGGGTGTAGCCCTTGACACACTCGCACACGCCTTCCCTTCTCTCCGCTCCCCTCACACCTGCTGCTGTGCCATAGGCATCACCAGAACCCTCCCTACTACCCACATGCCCTCGCCTTACCACTGCACATGCCACCCCTCCGGGTGAAGCCCTTGACACACTCGCACACGCCCTTCCCGTCCCTCTCCCTGCACTCCTCGTTCGCCTGACACTGGGTCACAGTCACATCACAGGGGTTTGGTGCTGCCATGCAGGGGCAGGGCAGGGGCACGCAAGGCAAGGCAAAGAGAGGTTCCAAGTTTCGGGGTGCCTCAGGAGACGTGCAATGCCCGACCGCCTGGCACTGGGTCACAGTCACATCACAGGGGTTTGGCGCTGCCTCGGGGCAGGGCGCGCACGCAAGGCAAGGCAAGGGGGGGGTTCATTCAGTGATGGAGAGTTGAGAGGCGCCTCAGAAGCCGTGCAATGCTCGTTCTCCAGACACTCCGGCACGTCACAGAGCTTTAGCGCTACACATGCGCGAGGTCCCACGGGTCCCCTCCCCACTCTGGCATGCCACAGGGGTTTGGCGCTGCCTCGGGGCAGGGCGCGCACGCAAGGCAAGGAGGGGGTTCATTTAGTGATGGAGAGTGGGTAGTTCTAGAGAATTACGAAAACATGCAAGGAGGGGGTTCCCTCAGTGATGTGAGCAGGCAGAAAGCAAGGAGGATGCTCATTCAGTGCTGGTGCGCGGATGCTCATTCAGTGCTGGTGCGCGGATGCTCATTCAGTGCTGGTGCGCGGATGCTCATTCAGTGCTGGTGCGCGGAGAAATTTCTAAAAGAATGCAAGGATGGGGCTCATTCACTGGTGGTGAGCAGGCGCCTCACTTGGAGCACCTGACTAGCCTAGAGCACCTGACTAGCCTAGAGCACCTGACTAGCCTAGAGCACCTGACTAGCCTAGAGCACCTGACTAGCCTAGAGCACCTGACTAGCCTAGAGCACCTGACTAGCCTAGAGCACCTGACTAGCCTAGAGCACCTGACTAGCCTAGAGCACCTGACTAGCCTAGAGCACCTGACTAGCCTAGAGCACCTCATTTCATCAACTCACGAATGCACTCCCCATTGCTCTCGGTGTAGCCCTCCCAGCACTGGCACACCCGCTGCTCCCCATTGGGCACACACTCCTTATCTTGAGGGCACTGTGTTTTGCCGCAGAGGTCTGGGGTCGGGCAGGGAGAGGGAGAGACGGGCGGAGGGCTTTAAGAATGTGGAACAGGGCACTCCTTATATGCAGGGCACTGTGTTTTGCCGCAGAGGTCTGGGGTCGGGCAGGGAGAGGGAGAGACGGGCGGAGGGCTTTAAGAATGTGGAACAGGGCACTCCTTATATGCAGGGCACTGTGTTTTACCGCAGAGATCTAGGGTCGGGCAGGGAGAGGGAGAGACGGGCGGAGGGCTTTAAGAATGTGGAACAGGGCACTCCTTATATGCAGGGCACTGTGTTTTGCCGCAGAGGTCTGGGGTCGGGCAGGGAGAGGGAGAGACGGGCGGAGGGCTTTAAGAATGTGGAACAGGGCACTCCTTATATGCAGGGCACTGTGTTTTGCCGCAGAGATCTAGGGTCGGGCAGGGAGAGGGAGAGACGGGCGGAGGGCTTTAAGAATGTGGAACAGGGCACTCCTTATATGCAGGGCACTGTGTTTTACCGCAGAGATCTAGGGTCGGGCAGGGAGAGGGAGAGACGGGCGGAGGGCTTTAAGAATGTGGAACAGGGCACTCCTTATATGCAGGGCACTGTGTTTTGCCGCAGAGGTCTGGGGTCGGGCAGGGAGAGGGAGAGACGGGCGGAGGGCTTTAAGAATGTGGAACAGGGCACTCCTTATATGCAGGGCACTGTGTTTTACCGCAGAGATCTAGGGTCGGGCAGGGAGAGGGAGAGACGGGCGGAGGGCTTTAAGAATGTGGAACAGGGCACTCCTTATATGCAGGGCACTGTGTTTTGCCGCAGAGGTCTGGGGTCGGGCAGGGAGAGGGAGAGACGGGCGGAGGGCTTTAAGAATGTGGAACAGGGCACTCCTTATATGCAGGGCACTGTGTTTTACCGCAGAGATCTAGGGTCGGGCAGGGAGAGGGAGAGACGGGCGGAGGGCTTTAAGAATGTGGAACAGGGCACTCCTTATCTGCAGGGCACTGTGTTTTGCCGCAGAGGTCTGGGGTCGGGCAGGGAGAGGGAGAGACGGGCGGAGGGCTTTAAGAATGTGGAACAGGGCACTCCTTATATGCAGGGCACTGTGTTTTGCCGCAGAGGTCTGGGGTCGGGCAGGGAGAGGGAGAGACGGGCGGAGGGCTTTAAGAATGTGGAACAGGGCACTCCTTATATGCAGGGCACTGTGTTTTACCGCAGAGATCTAGGGTCGGGCAGGGAGAGGGAGAGACGGGCGGAGGGCTTTAAGAATGTGGAACAGGGCACTCCTTATATGCAGGGCACTGTGTTTTGCCGCAGAGGTCTGGGGTCGGGCAGGGAGAGGGAGAGACGGGCGGAGGGCTTTAAGAATGTGGAACAGGGCACTCCTTATATGCAGGGCACTGTGTTTTGCCGCAGAGATCTAGGGTCGGGCAGGGAGAGGGAGAGACGGGCGGAGGGCTTTAAGAATGTGGAACAGGGCACTCCTTATATGCAGGGCACTGTGTTTTACCGCAGAGATCTAGGGTCGGGCAGGGAGAGGGAGAGACGGGCGGAGGGCTTTAAGAATGTGGAACAGGGCACTCCTTATATGCAGGGCACTGTGTTTTGCCGCAGAGGTCTGGGGTCGGGCAGGGAGAGGGAGAGACGGGCGGAGGGCTTTAAGAATGTGGAACAGGGCACTCCTTATATGCAGGGCACTGTGTTTTACCGCAGAGATCTAGGGTCGGGCAGGGAGAGGGAGAGACGGGCGGAGGGCTTTAAGAATGTGGAACAGGGCACTCCTTATATGCAGGGCACTGTGTTTTGCCGCAGAGGTCTGGGGTCGGGCAGGGAGAGGGAGAGACGGGCGGAGGGCTTTAAGAATGTGGAACAGGGCACTCCTTATATGCAGGGCACTGTGTTTTACCGCAGAGATCTAGGGTCGGGCAGGGAGAGGGAGAGACGGGCGGAGGGCTTTAAGAATGTGGAACAGGGCACTCCTTATCTGCAGGGCACTGTGTTTTGCCGCAGAGGTCTGGGGTCGGGCAGGGAGAGGGAGAGACGGGCGGAGGGCTTTAAGAATGTGGAACAGGGCACTCCTTATATGCAGGGCACTGTGTTTTACCGCAGAGATCTAGGGTCGGGCAGGGAGAGGGAGAGACGGGCGGAGGGCTTTAAGAATGTGGAACAGGGCACTCCTTATATGCAGGGCACTGTGTTTTGCCGCAGAGGTCTGGGGTCGGGCAGGGAGAGGGAGAGACGGGCGGAGGGCTTTAAGAATGTGGAACAGGGCACTCCTTATATGCAGGGCACTGTGTTTTGCCGCAGAGGTCTGGGGTCGGGCAGGGAGAGGGAGAGACGGGCGGAGGGCTTTAAGAATGTGGAACAGGGCACTCCTTATATGCAGGGCACTGTGTTTTACCGCAGAGATCTAGGGTCGGGCAGGGAGAGGGAGAGACGGGCGGAGGGCTTTAAGAATGTGGAACAGGGCACTCCTTATATGCAGGGCACTGTGTTTTGCCGCAGAGGTCTGGGGTCGGGCAGGGAGAGGGAGAGACGGGCGGAGGGCTTTAAGAATGTGGAACAGGGCACTCCTTATATGCAGGGCACTGTGTTTTGCCGCAGAGATCTAGGGTCGGGCAGGGAGAGGGAGAGACGGGCGGAGGGCTTTAAGAATGTGGAACAGGGCACTCCTTATATGCAGGGCACTGTGTTTTACCGCAGAGATCTAGGGTCGGGCAGGGAGAGGGAGAGACGGGCGGAGGGCTTTAAGAATGTGGAACAGGGCACTCCTTATATGCAGGGCACTGTGTTTTGCCGCAGAGGTCTGGGGTCGGGCAGGGAGAGGGAGAGACGGGCGGAGGGCTTTAAGAATGTGGAACAGGGCACTCCTTATATGCAGGGCACTGTGTTTTACCGCAGAGATCTAGGGTCGGGCAGGGAGAGGGAGAGACGGGCGGAGGGCTTTAAGAATGTGGAACAGGGCACTCCTTATATGCAGGGCACTGTGTTTTGCCGCAGAGGTCTGGGGTCGGGCAGGGAGAGGGAGAGACGGGCGGAGGGCTTTAAGAATGTGGAACAGGGCACTCCTTATATGCAGGGCACTGTGTTTTACCGCAGAGATCTAGGGTCGGGCAGGGAGAGGGAGAGACGGGCGGAGGGCTTTAAGAATGTGGAACAGGGCACTCCTTATCTGCAGGGCACTGTGTTTTGCCGCAGAGGTCTGGGGTCGGGCAGGGAGAGGGAGAGACGGGCGGAGGGCTTTAAGAATGTGGAACAGGGCACTCCTTATATGCAGGGCACTGTGTTTTACCGCAGAGATCTAGGGTCGGGCAGGGAGAGGGAGAGACGGGCGGAGGGCTTTAAGAATGTGGAACAGGGCACTCCTTATATGCAGGGCACTGTGTTTTGCCGCAGAGGTCTGGGGTCGGGCAGGGAGAGGGAGAGACGGGCGGAGGGCTTTAAGAATGTGGAACAGGGCACTCCTTATATGCAGGGCACTGTGTTTTACCGCAGAGATCTAGGGTCGGGCAGGGAGAGGGAGAGACGGGCGGAGGGCTTTAAGAATGTGGAACAGGGCACTCCTTATATGCAGGGCACTGTGTTTTGCCGCAGAGGTCTGGGGTCGGGCAGGGAGAGGGAGAGACGGGCGGAGGGCTTTAAGAATGTGGAACAGGGCACTCCTTATATGCAGGGCACTGTGTTTTGCCGCAGAGGTCTGGGGTCGGGCAGGGAGAGGGAGAGACGGGCGGAGGGCTTTAAGAATGTGGAACAGGGCACTCCTTATATGCAGGGCACTGTGTTTTACCGCAGAGGTCTAGGGTCGGGCAGGGAGAGGGAGAGACGGGCGGAGGGCTTTAAGAATGTGGAACAGGGCACTCCTTATATGCAGGGCACTGTGTTTTGCCGCAGAGGTCTGGGGTCGGGCAGGGAGAGGGAGAGACGGGCGGAGGGCTTTAAGAATGTGGAACAGGGCACTCCTTATATGCAGGGCACTGTGTTTTGCCGCAGAGATCTAGGGTCGGGCAGGGAGAGGGAGAGACGGGCGGAGGGCTTTAAGAATGTGGAACAGGGCACTCCTTATATGCAGGGCACTGTGTTTTGCCGCAGAGGTCTGGGGTCGGGCAGGGAGAGGGAGAGACGGGCGGAGGGCTTTAAGAATGTGGAACAGGGCACTCCTTATATGCAGGGCACTGTGTTTTACCGCAGAGATCTAGGGTCGGGCAGGGAGAGGGAGAGACGGGCGGAGGGCTTTAAGAATGTGGAACAGGGCACTCCTTATATGCAGGGCACTGTGTTTTGCCGCAGAGGTCTGGGGTCGGGCAGGGAGAGGGAGAGACGGGCGGAGGGCTTTAAGAATGTGGAACAGGGCACTCCTTATATGCAGGGCACTGTGTTTTGCCGCAGAGGTCTGGGGTCGGGCAGGGAGAGGGAGAGACGGGCGGAGGGCTTTAAGAATGTGGAACAGGGCACTCCTTATATGCAGGGCACTGTGTTTTACCGCAGAGATCTAGGGTCGGGCAGGGAGAGGGAGAGACGGGCGGAGGGCTTTAAGAATGTGGAACAGGGCACTCCTTATATGCTGGGCACTGTGTTTTACCGCAGAGATCTAGGGTCGGGCAGGGAGAGGGAGAGACGGGCGGAGGGCTTTAAGAATGTGGAACAGGGCACTCCTTATATGCAGGGCACTGTGTTTTGCCGCAGAGGTCTGGGGTCGGGCAGGGAGAGGGAGAGACGGGCGGAGGGCTTTAAGAATGTGGAACAGGGCACTCCTTATATGCAGGGCACTGTGTTTTACCGCAGAGATCTAGGGTCGGGCAGGGAGAGGGAGAGACGGGCGGAGGGCTTTAAGAATGTGGAACAGGGCACTCCTTATATGCAGGGCACTGTGTTTTGCCGCAGAGGTCTGGGGTCGGGCAGGGAGAGGGAGAGACGGGCGGAGGGCTTTAAGAATGTGGAACAGGGCACTCCTTATATGCAGGGCACTGTGTTTTACCGCAGAGATCTAGGGTCGGGCAGGGAGAGGGAGAGACGGGCGGAGGGCTTTAAGAATGTGGAACAGGGCACTCCTTATATGCAGGGCACTGTGTTTTGCCGCAGAGGTCTGGGGTCGGGCAGGGAGAGGGAGAGACGGGCGGAGGGCTTTAAGAATGTGGAACAGGGCACTCCTTATATGCAGGGCACTGTGTTTTACCGCAGAGATCTAGGGTCGGGCAGGGAGAGGGAGAGACGGGCGGAGGGCTTTAAGAATGTGGAACAGGGCACTCCTTATATGCAGGGCACTGTGTTTTGCCGCAGAGGTCTGGGGTCGGGCAGGGAGAGGGAGAGACGGGCGGAGGGCTTTAAGAATGTGGAACAGGGCACTCCTTATATGCAGGGCACTGTGTTTTACCGCAGAGATCTAGGGTCGGGCAGGGAGAGGGAGAGACGGGCGGAGGGCTTTAAGAATGTGGAACAGGGCACTCCTTATATGCAGGGCACTGTGTTTTGCCGCAGAGGTCTGGGGTCGGGCAGGGAGAGGGAGAGACGGGCGGAGGGCTTTAAGAATGTGGAACAGGGCACTCCTTATATGCAGGGCACTGTGTTTTGCCGCAGAGGTCTGGGGTCGGGCAGGGAGAGGGAGAGACGGGCGGAGGGCTTTAAGAATGTGGAACAGGGCACTCCTTATATGCAGGGCACTGTGTTTTACCGCAGAGATCTAGGGTCGGGCAGGGAGAGGGAGAGACGGGCGGAGGGCTTTAAGAATGTGGAACAGGGCACTCCTTATATGCAGGGCACTGTGTTTTACCGCAGAGATCTAGGGTCGGGCAGGGAGAGGGAGAGACGGGCGGAGGGCTTTAAGAATGTGGAACAGGGCACTCCTTATATGCAGGGCACTGTGTTTTGCCGCAGAGGTCTGGGGTCGGGCAGGGAGAGGGAGAGACGGGCGGAGGGCTTTAAGAATGTGGAACAGGGCACTCCTTATATGCAGGGCACTGTGTTTTGCCGCAGAGGTCTGGGGTCGGGCAGGGAGAGGGAGAGACGGGCGGAGGGCTTTAAGAATGTGGAACAGGGCACTCCTTATATGCAGGGCACTGTGTTTTACCGCAGAGATCTAGGGTCGGGCAGGGAGAGGGAGAGACGGGCGGAGGGCTTTAAGAATGTGGAACAGGGCACTCCTTATATGCAGGGCACTGTGTTTTACCGCAGAGATCTAGGGTCGGGCAGGGAGAGGGAGAGACGGGCGGAGGGCTTTAAGAATGTGGAACAGGGCACTCCTTATATGCAGGGCACTGTGTTTTACCGCAGAGATCTAGGGTCGGGCAGGGAGAGGGAGAGACGGGCGGAGGGCTTTAAGAATGAGAGTTGTTCTTTTGCTATTCGCCCTTGTCTTCTCACAATCCTCTAAATCCTTCGCTTCCCCTCTCCCTTGTAAGTAATAGTAGGGATTTGGAGGAGGCAGGTAAGAAGGACGGGCGGAAGGGTAGTGAAATGTGGGGTGCAGCGCGCCGGTGAGATTTGCGAAGTGACATGCAAGATGTGAAATGCACAATCCATTCGCTCACCCATGCACTCCCCATGCAGCCCATTCGCTCACCCATGCACTCCCCGTTGTCGTCGTAGAAGCCAGCCTTGCACTCGCACACGCCCTCCTCGCCCTTGCGCACGCACTGGGCGTTGAAGTCAGCACACTTCACTCCTATGCACGGGTCCGGCACTGCTCAGCCCGCACGTAAACGTGAAGAGAGGGGCAGAAGGAAGCACGGCGGGTGGGAAGAAGGGAGAGCGCGCACATTTGATGCTCGGATGACACGCACTGGGCGTTCAAGTCAGCACATTTCACTCCTATGCACGGGTCCGGCACTGCCATTGGGGGTGGGACGTAATCGGAGCACGATGGGAAGCAATCGGAGGGCACACATTCGATGCTCAGACATACTACTTAAGTGAACAGAGGGCATTTACCCGTGAAGTACTCTTACCCCGGATGACATTACTTCGGTTCTGGGGGATGCAAATGGATATGATGGGTGTGGAAATGATGGGTACGAGGACTCAGCACAACACTTCAGTATGAGTGTTTATTCACCTCTCACTGCTTATCAGCAATCAGCACTACACGGCTTATTGGCATGGCACTCACGATAGCAAGTGCTGTCAGTGGAGTTGAAGACTTGTTTCCCCGGGCACACGCACTGCGGATCGCTGCCCTTGAGGGCGCACCGAGCACACAGTGCTCATCAGCGCTCACCATCACAGGGCTTATCGGCGCTTACAGTAGCAAGTGCTGTCAGTGGAGTTGAAGACTTGTTTCCCCGGGCACACGCACTGCGCATCGCTGCCCTTGAGGGCGCACCGAGCAACCCTGCCGCAGTCCTGCTTGCAGGCTGTAACGGCACGGCACGGGGGGATTGGATTCGAAAGGTGGAAAGAGGACAGGGGAGGGAGAAGGGCGGTGATGTTTGAAAAGAACGAGGAGCATCACCTCCCCGGGAGGCGTCATTAGCCGAACGAGGAGCATCTGTCCCCGGCTTGGCTAATGACACCTCCCTCTTTGAATGCCACGAGCAGGGCGCTGGGACGACAGATACTATTGTGCACCCTCTACACCACTTTGCACCGCGCCTCACCTCAACCATGCCTAGCCGCATACCGGCCCCTGAAGGACTTGTGAAGTGCTTCTTGCGAAGCCAACGAACATTCCAGCCGCAGAGCAGGCAGACAACAAACGTGACTACCTCATTAAGAATTGTCAGCTTGCGGTGTGAATACCCTCCGTGGCACTCACCGCGGCACCGCTTGTCGGCGCTGCTGTAGGCCTGGGAGTCGGGGCACACGCACTGGTGACTGTCGTTCCTCACCGCACACGCCGCTGACCCGCAGTCCATCTCCGGACGGCAGTCTATGGGACAGCCGTGGGTCACAGGGAGGAGAAGTGGGAGGCGAGGGAAGGGAGGATGAGGGAGAATGGCACGCACTGGGGAGTGTCGTTCCTCACCGCACACGCCGCTGACCCGCAGTCCATCTCCGGACGGCAGTCTATGGGACAGCCGTGGGTCACAGGGAGGAGAAGTGGGAGGCGAGGGAAGGGAGGATGAGGGAGAATGGCACGCACTGGGGAGTGTCGTTCCTCACCGCACACGCCGCTGACCCGCAGTCCATCTCCGGACGGCAGTCTATGGGTCACCCATGGGTCGTTGGGAGACAGGGAAGAGAGGAGCGGCAGGAGAGGGGAGGGGAGATGAGGGAGGGTGACACAGTCGTGCGGCTTACCTAAGATGAATAGCTAGCATGAACCGTACGTATAGTTTCACGTGCACACGGTAGTTTTGGAGGGAAAACGGTTGCGTGAGGAGGAATGGATGCTGGGAATGGTTGCGCTGGAGTGCGCTGGAGTGCTCGCCCAGCAAGGCCCTGGGTGCTGGAATGGCATCATGGCATCCGATGCCATGAGTCATGGGCGGCACATGACTGCACTCACCCAACTCGCATTTGACCGATGCAGGCAGCTGGCCGGCAGGGATATCCCTGGCGGCAGAAACAAGGGGGAGAGGCGGCGGGGGGGGGGAGGGGGGGGAGCAAGGGACAGTACTTGAGGCGCTCGCGATTGCAAGTAGAAAAGCGCAAACTTTGCGTGAGCCCTTTGAAAGGGTGAGCGTGCTGCTGGGAGGAGGTGGAGCGTGTTGGGGCAAAGAGAGGGCGCCGCCTCACCATTGCGAGGTCATGGGGAAGCCGCCGTCGTCGGGGGGGCGGAAGAACGTGCGGTAGGGGCTGCCCTTGCACCCGCTCTGGTAGTGGAAGGCTACTGCGCGACACATGGGCGGAGCGTAGCGGCGGTTTTGCTCGTTGTCCCAGCCCACATCCAGACTGGCATCCGCGTAGTAGCGGGCGTCTCGGTCGAAGCACAGAGCGTACGCGAAATTAAACTGCTGTTCAGGACTATGAAAGTCGATGGGTTTGTAGGCCAGCCACGCAGTTGTCATGGAAAGCTTGCCGCTCGCGGAGCCGCTGATTGCGGCCAGTAAAACCGCGACGAGGCACAGACCAGCGGCCACGCCAATGGCGGCCGGCGGCCCGCCGTGACGATGGCGGCGCTGCATGGCGGCGACGGCGGCGATGGCGGACGGCGACGGATATGAGCGGGCGATGGGGATTGAAGCGGAAAGCGACGTTGACGGGCGAACGTCGTGCGTGCGACGGAATGGTGGTCGCAGCCGCGGCGACGGTCGGTGCGACGCTTACGAATCTCGCCGAGCCAAGGAAAGGCGGCCGAGCCGATGCGGCAGAATGAAAGGGGCGGTGAGAATCGAGCATGCAAGCGCGGCGGTGCTGCAAGCGGCGTGAAGCCGGTCAGAGATTCGGGTGAAGCGAGAAAGCGCAGAGAAGGATCACGAGGGATGGAGAAGAGCGAGGAAGGGGGGAAGCTAGCAGTATGTGGTGAGGGACCGTCAATCACGAGAAATAACTGGGATGCGTTGAGCGAAGTGTCGAATTTCACGGTGAAGGGGGAGCAAGGGAGAGGGGAGTGAGAATGCGACGCCATGTGAGCGACGCCGCAGGGATGGACGCGATCAGCGGGATGCGGTGGGAGGGGCATGGCGAGACCTGGCGTGCATTCGGTCGATCGCAGACGGCCCCGCCGCGAATGACTCGGTGCGTCTGATTGGATGGCGCCGCTCCTTGCGAGCAGCGCAGTTCCTTTGTTACCACATGGTCGAAGGACCGCATTCGCCGGTATCGCGCTCATCCTTAGGCTGTGAATTATTGAGTCAAGCGAGTTCGATAATTTTCTGCTTTATTGGTTCGGAGTCGCCCAATGGGCGAGCGATATGGGTTCCGCGTCCCTTGTGACACGCCTGTCTCTCTCTTCCTCATTCTGTTGCTTTTGCTAACCCCAACGAATTTGTGCGACACAAGTGCTGCAATAGAGAAAATTCGATATTCGTGGCTGAGGAGCAGAAAAGGTTTTGATTTTGTCAGCGCATATAGAGTGGACTCTTTTTAGTGTGTTGCTGTTACGAGTGCAATTGAGCGAGCGAGCGAGAATTGCACTATCGAAGCAAAACAGTAGAAATGAGCAAAGACATGAGCGAGAACTAAATAGCGAAGGACACTGTGGTAACGGTAATGAACTGTGGCTGATGTGCGACGGGCCTAGGACTGGGGTTGGGGAGTGTCGAAGCGGTGGTCCGGAGCGCGGGTTACTAGCTGAGCCGTGCGGCTGGGGCGCGACAGGCGAGGTGGCGGGAAATGGTCGAGGCGACTGTCGCGAGTGGTAACGGTGGCAACTGTGGCTGGTACAGTGATGAACGCGCTAAGCAGGGATGCAGTGTAAGGAAATGGAAATTTCCTTACACTACCCCCCTCCCCAAGGAGGCCCTCCTTATGAGAGTGCGTGTACATCCCGGAAATTGCGGCTGCGCAGATACTCAGCGAGGACAGGGTGGTTTTCGATCTTGTCCAGGGGAACCCAATTGTCTTCAGTTGGGGTGCGGTCTTTCCATCGGATCAGGAACTCGATCCTGCGGCCTCCACTTGGGTCACGAACGCGATGGCTCAGAATCTTCTCGGGTGTGATTATTGGCTCGGTGGGTGGTCGTGTCATGTTGCCTGGTCGGTGGTGGGGCAGTTGGCTTGTGGATGGTACGAAAAGGCGTAGGAGACTGACGTGGAATGACAAGCTGACGTACCAGTCAGCGGGGAGGAGGAGGTGGGCGGTAACGGGGGTGATCATGTGGGTAATGCGGAATGGCCCACAATATCGAGGGCGAAGTTTTGGGGTGATGAGCAGGCGGAGGTTTTGAGTGTCGAGTAAGACTAAGTCGTCGGGCTGGTAAGTGACGGGGCGGCGGTGTCGGCGTTTCGTTTAGCGATTAAGTTTGATTTTTTTTATTGCGTCTGCTGCCCGGTTCCGTGCTGCTTGTAAGATTTTGGCGAACTGCTGTGCACGTGGTACGGGGTTGTCGGGATTCGGGGTCATGGGTACTGTGGGGTCTTGTCCGTAGTTCAGGTAAAACGGTGACTGTTGGGTCGTGGCGGATGGCGAGTTGTTGTACGGAACTCGATCAATGGCAGTTGCTGTTCCCATGTGCCTGGGTCGTTGCACGTGGCTCGGATAAGCTGCTCCATGGTTTGGTTTGTCCGTTCTGTCTGTCCGTCTATCTCGGGGTGGTACGAAGAACTGAACTGTAGTCGTGTGCCGAACTGCTGTCACAGGTTCCGCCAGAAGTTGCTGGTGAATTTCGTATCTCTGTCGCTAATGATTGCTGCTGGTATCCCGCGTAATCGAACGATGGTGGCGATAAAGAGCCGAGCCGTTTCTTCGGCTGAGATGTATGTTTTGCATGCTGTGAAATGCGCGATTTTCATGAGTCCATCGACGATGACTAGGATCCCATCGTTCCCACT